AGATGGAGATTGTTTTTGAACCTGACATGATAAAAATAAAATAAGACTTTACTGATCCTGCACTGTGGATATTTGCATGTTGTAGCAGTTTCAGAAACAGTGAAAAAATGAAACATAATTTAGAAAGATAAGACAAAAATGATAAAATTAAGATAAAAATTAAAAAGCTATTTACAGAATAGGCCTATAGAAATTTCACATTTTGAAATTAATTTAAATTTGTTTTAGTTAGAACAGTATGAGTGATCTGCATTTTGAGTGCTATTTACTGACACGTACTATACTGACCTCCTTAGGAGACAGGCCAAAATAAATATCTGCCTTAATATAAGCATGCAGCTTCCCCTCCTAGTCCAAGGAGAAGACTTACTAATGTAATCTGTACCTGTGGTCTAGTCTTCTTCCCAATTATCTCTGCCCTCCTCCTGCATTCTCTGACCAAAGCGCATGGCATATGGCATGAGACTTTATCAGCTGACCTGAGACTAGAAGACGGCCGCAGGAAAAGATGACAAAATCATGCGATATTTGGCAGCTCCATCAAGGGTTGTGTGCTGAAGGTGCTGTCACAGCTTGGACTGGAAATGTAGTCAGGGCTCTAAGAAAATAGCCTTGTTACTTGCCCCGGTTTACCCCTACTATTATAGAATCCCGCCATTCCAATTTTTGGTGTTGTGCATTAGGTTTATGTAGCTACTGCTCAAAACCATAACAGTTAACATAAATTTCTCTCATTTTACATAAATTAATTAATTAATTATACATTTGATAATGTTAGATGTAACAACACTGTAATAAAAATTTTATTACACTGGATATTTTAACCTTACGCTTTGTTATCCCACCCTGCAGAGTGCATGCTTATATTTTAAACACATTGTTCTTCCATTAAGAGGATGAACTGAAACTGAAAATCTTTCCATGGTTCATCAAAGAAAAGGGCATTTCCATTTGATGGTACTGACGATGAATAAGGATTTAATAGTTAGGAAAACAATCAGTTGCTGGAAATCCTGCAAGAAAGGTGAAAGTGATTGTGACGATGAGGAACGCAGAACGCAGATGAGGAAAAGAGTGAGGATTAAAGTGCAGTTACAGGTATGAGTATAAGATATAGAGGAAACCTATTTAATGGCCTCTTTTCACTTATTGATTATGTGATAGATTTTGTTGACTTTCTATGCTTTGTCAACTTCAGTAAGTATTGAGCCAAAGACGGCTGCAAGGTAACACAGATCTGAAATGGTAGTAGCATAAATCAAACATTCTGGTACTCCATACCAGTGAGTAGTAGCCCAGTTCTAGCCCATCTTACCACTATAGGCCAGATGTTTGTGCGGTTGTTGCTTATGAAGTTTTATGCTTGTCCATTTCCCAAAACAGAAATCATTTATTATTAATGTCGTTTTTTGTGGTAAAGGCATATTTTCCCATATGATTACGCTTTCTCTACCTTCAATTCTATGCTGATGATACTATTTTATATCTGCCTATAATAACATCTAGTTCTAATGGAGACATTTGCGACATTAAGGCTTTTTTCATTTGAAAGTGGGTTGGACGTGTGCATGACAGAATTGTCTCATTTAGTGAGCGAAGAAAGTTTTACACATTCAGAGACATAGCTTTGTTAGTAGTAGTTTTGTCAGCCAGTGGTATTTACTGAATATGAATCTATATAAATAGATTATACTACATCCACAAGAGTTCAATGTTAAATTTGATTTAAAAGTTGTCTCAGCTCTGTTTTGATGAAAGTGATCGAGACAAAAGCCACATTTCAACCAAAGGAACCATACCCCGGAAGAAGAAACTTGGTGGAACTCACTGCGTTTCCACCGGAGGGACCAGGGTCTAAATTTATTTCTAGGGTCTTTATTTGACCTCCAAAAAAATCCCTGCTCGGGGGGTAGTACTTTCCAAAAGTACTGTTACTTTGGGGGTTGGGGCTGCCTTGCAGTGAATTTCTGAATGGGCGAGTAGAGGCTACTGGCTTTAGCTCAAGCATGTTGGGTGTTTTTCTGCTACTGCTCCTTTCTTTTCCACCGTTGTTTGCAAACCAGTAAATCACAATCAACAGTCAAATAGCACACAAGTCTCACCAATGTCCGCCTGAGATCAAACGTCAGCATTAAAGGTATTGGTCGGAAATAGCAGCCAGCGTGCAGTGGTGTGTTTACAGCGAACATCTGATGGAGTTACGATAAATACTGGGTCCAAAGTTGTTGTTTGAAGTTAGTAACTTTTAAGTTGTTTTAAGTTAAGAGGAACAGATGATTACAACATCCTGTTCCTCAGGCGGACACAGATGTGATGCTGCAGCTGATCTGTAGCTCTTGTTGGCTGGAAATGTTTTAATAACCTTCCAAACTGCCGCAATTTTATTTTTGTGTTTCTTTCTCTGTGCTGGAGTTAGTTTAAGAACTTGATGGCTTTACCCAGTTTGTTATTAAATTTGTAACAATCTTTATCATGTGTCTCTTCATAATACTCCCACACAAAAAAAGCTGTTTTTAATGGTCAAGCACAGCCTATAGTTTTTCATTATATCAAATCAAATCAAATATTAATTTATAAATTTTGCTCATGGATAGCAGTTACTAAATAATGATGCTTGTGCATCGCTGTGTACAGCGTATAGGCCTACAGCCCACGTCAGCTGGTTAATTTGCCTTATTTTTGCATGTCTTTAGACCGCGGTGGAAAGACACAACAATGGGCTGAAAGAACCTTTTAGTTCCTTGAAAAGAGATCCGGTCACTCAAAAGTCCCAGGTACTTTTGGTCGAAACACAGCTTAAGAGTCCAAAACCATGCTAGCGCCTCTGTGAGGCTGCTGTACTACTGACAGTTGGTCCATTGAGCTAAATGCTAATATCAGCATGCTAATATGCTCACAATGAAAATTTTAACATGTTGATGCTCAGCAGGTTTACTATTTACCATGTTTCCCATTTTAATTAATAAACCATAAACCATAGTATTAAACAAAGTGAATTTTTGATCTGATGATATAAAAGGTCAAGAGATCACCAAAAAGACTGCAATTCATCCTGAAGGGCGCATCGCTGAAGCAATGCTGTTAGGATGACTACAAGCTAATGAGCAGTTGTTAACAAGTATTAGTTTTGGTATTAGAAAAGAAATAGTCCTTTATCTTCGGATAGGCTGTAAAAACTTACAACCATAATAATTCATCTGACTTAAGACCACAATAATGGTGGCTTGTGTCAAACTGTCAACCTACCTGGACAGAGAGCTTCTTATCCTCATTTGGCAGGATTCTGTATGTGTACACACAGTTCTGGTATCTGTGGTTAAAATAATAAAATGCAAATGTCTGTCACTGGAATATGAAATGTATGTAGGGTAAAGAAACATGCTGGCTGGTTTATTCAATTTGTTTATCATACAATCAGAATAGTTTGGCTAACATTGTAAATGAAAGTTGCTCCAACACATATGAGTTTTAGAGGGCAAAGGGTGTAGCTTTTGTGGTAGCACAGTATGCAAATAAAGGGGAACTAGTCTTGCGTTGTGGTGCCTATGCTATGCCAATGCAAAAAATATGATATGGCACATTGAAATACATCAGGAGAAATTTTGCCTTTTTATGTTATATTAAATATGCCCAAATGACGATGTTTAGAGTGTTTTTCTTAAACCTGATGCCAAAAGCATTCTGTAGAACTGCCATGTCATGTCAGTTCTTTCTCCATTAATTAGGGATCATACACAGCTCACATTGCCAGTTATGAAGGGTTTTTGAACAAGGAACAAGAATCATTGTCCACTCTATGCATCAAAATAAACAAGTCAGTGCAATAGTTAGAAACATATAATGTCTACTTACAAAACACAGAGGGCATACGCTCCCTGTATGGACTCACTGTCCCGGATAAGGAAGCTTCCATCTCTTGCTGCTTTGGAAAGTAGATCCTCAGCTTTGGATCGAGTTATATTACCATGGCACCAAGGTTGATAACTTGGCATCCTGTCTCTCACCCCAAGAGTCTGAGCTCAAGAGTTTTGCATCTGCTCTCAAACTATATTCCAGCAAACCAAAGTAAACTCAGTTTTTCTTTCTGGCTATTTTCATCTTTTCATGGTGCGTACTCACTACTTAATGTTCTTTCTTTCACTTGTTCATCCACTGCCTCCGAAAGCTGTAAAAGGAAGCTGCTACTACCTCGGTTCTGAACTTCCTCATTTGAGAAGTTGAGAGAGGACGGCCCTGGTGCCTCTGCTCTGCCTGTTATATGACAGATCCACAGAGCTGTAAATAGAAATATAGACTTTCACTGGCTAAGTAGAAGTCTTTGTCACATTATTTAAATCATTAACCAGCAAACCACGTTAGTTTATGTGCCTGCTTGTTAATGTGAACTGTCCAGGAAATAGTTAAACTATTTATAAAAACTTGAGTTGAAAGAAGTGAAAAAGGGAAGTAACAAAAAAAGGCAAAGATGACTTGTTATAGTCAAAGTATTTACAGATAAATCAACTTGTAAATAATATGTAGATTGTTATGTGTATAACAAGCCTTATTTGGTTCCCAGATGTATTTTTAATTCTCAGATAATATTTTCCCTTTGATCTATAATAAAACAAGCACTCATATTCACCCAGAAGATCCGACCTGAGTCAGATTGTTAACTGTATAATCATCTACTATGAATTAGGAGAGCTAAGTGTTTTCTAAAATCTATACATTCAGAAAACACAAGTTTAGAATGGCTTGCAATGTTCATGTGATGGACAGGAAGTTGCAGAATTAAGAGGAGGAAAATAAGCTGCTCACAAACCACAACATGGGTCACATGATACAAAAAGAGAACTACACAGTGACAAGTCACTGCAGCCTCGGAGGTTTCTGTCCTTCACTTGAAATAGGTTCTTCACTTTCACGGAGAGCATGTCAAAGTCTCAGACATGCAGTGGCAATGTAGACCAGAGGATGTGAATTCATACATTTGCTTTCAAGTGACAACAATTGAAATGCAGAGTTAGCACACACTTTTTATATAACAGCATTGAAAAGCAGGTGGTATTGATACAAAAAAGAAATAAAGAAGGAAATGTGAGTTAGTTGTTAACATATAGCCTAAGTAAGCTGGTGTAGCAGCCATACAGTTTTTATGAGAGCTTTTTTTAGACTTAACATTTCCTCTGTAGACGACTTTGTAATAATTACTACAAGTTTATTATTAAGTCATAAGGATTATTTATAACTCACATCTTACTAATCTGTGTGAATCATGTCTTTCTGTTTAAAACATCACTTTTTTTGCAGATGATAAGTAGTCAAACTGACTCACGGTAGGGCTCATAGTTTGTCATGCAATAGTACAATATCATAAATGTGGACAAAGCAGTAAATGCATATCTGGATAATAATAAATGAATACAATGAAGATTTGTCTAGCACAAGCAAAGTAAACAATGAACTGGTGTCTTCAAGTAATTTCTAAAGGCCATGGAAAATATATTTGTAAGTGCGTTTAAAAATACATTTTATATTAAAAACAAGACTAAGAGTCTATACTCATGCTAGCAGCTCTCTGAGGCTGTAACTAGGCACAGTGGTGCTTTGAGCTAAATGCTAACGTCAGCATGCTCACAACAATGCTAACATGCTGATCTTTGTAAACTTACCATCTTAGCTTGGGTTGATGGCTTGCTAACATTCGCTAATTAGAGCTAAAAACAAAGCACAGCCGAGGCTGTTGGGAATGTAATTAATTTAGCAGGTATTGGTTAAACATTTACAATTCATTCTGAGGGGAACACGAATGTTGGTACCAAGAGATATTTCTGTCTGTACCAAAGTGGTAAACCAACGACCACCAAACAAACTCTGACCTACTGGTGATGCTACACAAAATGAGAGATCACCAAAGTTATTACAGTTCATCCTCTATAGATTATCTGATCATGTGGATATCTGTCATTTCATGGCAATTAATGCCACCCTGCTAGCATAGCTAAAAACAGCTTAAATTAAAAAATGTACATAAGCTAACTAATAAGTATTTATCACATTTGGCATACAAAACATTAACAGGAAATACATAAAAAGTTGACTATCTACATATTTAATCATTTGGTGTTTGGCACAAAAATAATTTTCCAACAACAGCAGGAAGCTTGTGGAAACAATTTGACCAACTTAATTCTTGTTGGGGTCACAGGTGGCTAGAGCCTCTCCCACCATGCACTGGATACCAGAAAGATGTTGCTAATACTATACATTATATGACATAGCAGAGGCAGTTATAATCTAATATAATAATATAATATTCAATTAGTGTTTTGTCCAAATTTCTGTCTCATGTCTAGGACAAATGTTTTGTGTCTTTTTAGGGCAGCAAGTGGCAAGTGGAACCAGTCTCAGACTTTGATGTCGGGGGCTAGTATTTAAGGGTTCTCTGGTTGACTTTCTGAGCTCTGTATGCACACTTTCCGTGAGTTTGCAATTCTGCAGACTTTGCTCATAGGAAATTTTGGAACCACAAAAACGAAACATAAGCAAAATATGGAAGGAGTTGGTATAAACATGTGTCACTAACGGGCACTACTTGTTTGTCTTCTGGTGGTATGACGGTGACTTTCAAATATGTTAATTTGGTCCAATAGTACCATTTTGGAGGAGAGCAAACAACATTCTCTCTAATTCATTACACATGGAATAAGAGTCTCAAACTTTACTGGACACAGGATGCCCCTGTCCAGGTAACATGACTTCACAAAGCGCTGTCCCAATCCTCATATGTCAACAGTCAGTTGATAGTCAGACCAATTTTTGTTTGTTTTTGTTTGCATCTGTACCAAACAGTGCTCCAGACACATTTCTCTTCCTCAAAACTCCGACTTGGCACTCACAGAGCTCTCATGTGTTACCTTTAACTCTCCACTAGTGGCTCCTGACATCCCAGCCTTATCTTTGCAAAACAATGTCATTAGAGTGCCACGGAACTTCTCTGCCCCAAAAAGGTAGATTAGCGGATCCATGGCGCCATTCAGACAGGTGAGAGAGGAGGTGAGGCGGTTGGCCAGGCTCAGGCCTCTGCGTGTCTGGCAGGAGACGTCAGGATGGCTGTAGCCCAGGATGAAAGTGGCTCTGCTCACATGATAAGGCAGAAAACAGACTACATAGATGAGCATGACCAGACCGATGGTGCGCAGGGCCCTCAGCTTGAGGGTCGGCTCTAACCTGGAGCCCCGACGCAGGCTGAGAATGATGAGCAGGTAACAAGACAGTGTGGCGAGGAAAGGTGGGGTAAAGGCCACAGCCAGTGAGATCAGTGCATTGCGCGAGGCCTTCTCTCTGTAGAGCTGCAAACACACGGTCATGCCGTCCACCTCTGCAGTCTGGTGGGTGATTAGCAGTGGCGCCATGGAGACAGTAACCAGGGCCCATAGAGAGAAGCTGATGATGTGAGCGTAGCGAGCACGACGAACCTTCAGTGACCTTACAGCGTGAACAACAGCCAGGTAGCGATCCCCAGCCACGCAGGCCAGGAAGTACAGGCTGGCGTACATGTTGACATAAAACAAAAAGCCTGCCACTCTGCAGGGCACCTCGCCAAAGGGCCAGTGGCCTCCAGTGAGGTGGTAGGTGGCCCTCAGTGGGAGGATAATCACGTACGATAAGTCTGCCACAGCCAGATGGATCAAGAAAATGTTAGCTGGAGAGGAAGAGCCACGCTGGTGAGAGAAGATCCAGAGAGCCAGGCTGTTACCGTTCAGCGCCAGAAAGAAAACAAGGATGTAGAAGCATCCAAACAACATGTTCTCAGCTGTTGTGTCCACCGCCGCACAGCTCTCTGATGACTGATTGGAGAGCAGGGAGGACAGCTCCATTGTAGCAGACTCCATTTTGGTAGCTGAGGAGACATAAAAGATGATTTTTATCCTAAAAGCTATTTTCAGGTATGAATAGAAACATTTCTCCTCTTATTTAAGTAATGCATGTATGTTTGCAGGATATATAGAAAATGATGATCAGGTCTGATTTCTGACCAGCATTTGGGTCATGACTTTTCTAAACAAGAGCTTTTGATTTCCAAAATGGTTCATTGTTAGTATTCAGACAGCAAACTAGCCCAGTAACAGGAAGCCATACGAACTCAACCCCTGTCCACAGTTCTCTCCACCCACCCACACACACACACACACACATGCACACACACACACACACAATACAATAGGCAGGGAAAGTGTTTGTCACAGTGCCAGTCTCACAAGGTAACAATAGATGTCAATGTCCCTGTCTAATGTGCACATTCCCTCATAGCGGATGATTACTTCATTCTGACCACTACAAGTAATAGACTTCCTCCACACACCCTTAAGTCCAGGAAGTCCACGTCATTAAATCTTCGCTCATCTTTTTTACAGCTTGTCTTGCCTCAGTCTGATTTGTCAGCAAGAATTCTTTCAGCCTTTCAGTTAGTTAAATGGCAAACTCTCAAGGGCATAAAGGGTTTTGCATGAAACTTTAGCTCATCACGGTAAACATGGGGATGTCAAGATGATACTGTGCTGTAACTATACACTAAGTAATGTTAAGGTGTAACATTCAATGTGAAGGGTAACAACTAAAAATATAAAAAGAGTTCAATTTTTAACCTACGTGGAAATATGTTTATTCACCTTCTTGTCGATAATTTGATGAGAAGATTGACACCACTCTCAGTTTTGTATACTAAATATCAAGCAGCCAGCAGAAAGGTTAGCTTAGCCAGGAAACAAAACATCCGCCTACCTAGCCTATCCTGCTAATCCAAGCTAGCCAGCTGCTGGCTCCAGTTTCATATTGAGCGGACAGATACGAGAGTGTATCTACATATGTGAGATATTAAAGGCAGCATGCCCAAAGTCAAAGAAACTTTTTCTTTAAAAAATCTTTACATGATTTCTGGTTAATGTACATTTGAGTCTCACTTCCTCAGTGACATTTTAAACATTGAGTATGAACTCGACTGAGAGAATTTCCAACATTCCTCATTGGACTGCTCACTTGTTTTTTCCAATCTAAGAGAACTATTTAGACACACCTCAAAATAATGACCACCCACTCCTCTGTCCCTGCTGCAACTCTGGCAAGCTCCAACTGTCCACTCCTCTCATTTTGTTGTTTGTTCTCCTGCTTCAGCCTAACATCTACACAAACATCCCTGGGGCGCGAACAGCAGTTCAGCATTCATCTCAGAAAAGGCTTCTCTCAAACTTTAACTTTGGTATTTGTGGAGGATCCAGGAACAATATCAAAACGTGTGTTGCAGAGATGAACTTGTCACCCTGCAGATATTTCTCTAGCTAAAGGGAGGTTCCCAAATATACAATGCAGATAGCTCACCAAACAGTGAAATGTGATTAAGTAATGCCGCACCATTGCATGGCCCCTTAACAAAAAAGGAAAGGGATGTCTGTCTCTCTTTATGTGACTGGGCTAAATCTCTGTTTCACCAGATCACTGTCCAGACTTTTGGCCCATTAAGAACCATCCAGATGTAGCTGCGTGACTCTTTTCAGTGTGTGTGCTATGCTCCTGCACTGACTGGAGCTGTGAGACCCACAACGAAGGGCATTTCTCAGCAAAGGCTCAGACTCAGAGCATTAAGGAGCACAAGTCGCCCCAAAGAAAAGGGTTGTATTCCTGGCAGGGATAACAAAACAGGAGCAGCACAGCTGAATGGAAAAGCTTTCATAAATACGGATCCCCGAGGGATAATCCTTAAGAGAGGCAATCCTGAAATATGCCTTCATCACAATAATCTGGGTAAGCAGATCTGTGCAGCCGTTCACATGTAAAGAGTGCTGGCAGAGAGGAGACTGAGCATCCTGGCATTGGTCTTTTCCAAAGATTAGTACGTAACGGTGTGTTGTGATAAAACTGTGACAGCTGTAATGCGTACAATGTGCTATTGTTAAAACTAGTCACGGTAAAACCCAAGTACAATAAAGCAAAAGTGAAATTTGATTATTGGATTAAATGCAAGTGCACTTGATATTCATCCTTCCAATCTTAAAAAGCAGATGACAGATTGTCATCACTGCATGTTTCAAAAAATCATTAAAAATGCTCATCTGTTTTAGGAATCAAATGACAAAAGTGACATATACAGAATAAATACTTACTACTATTGTTCAGTGAACTTTACAGTTCTAGTATAAAGGATATATTGTTTTACTGCAACAGTTTGAGCCACTTAAAAGAAGTGTACGCAAAGAAAACAACAGTGGGAATCACTCTTGTGAAGACAGACCGTAAAAGAATTATTAAAAAAACAATGATAAAATACATCTCTATTTCAACATCTCAGGTAAAATAAAAAGACTTACTTCAGAGAGTTGGGAAAGGGTTGTCTGCTGAAGGAACAATTCAGCTGGACTACAATCAGTGCAGGAGCAGATTGGAGCAAAGTGAAGACTTGGAGTTCAACTGCCGAGCTGTGAAAGAACTGTAGCGCTGACACAAAGAAAGCTGTCCTATAGCCCCCTCTTCTCTCCCTCAAGATGTTCTTGGGAATGAGACTGTTGCTCTTTTTGTGTCTCAACAAATTTGATAACAGAAAGGGAGTCCCAATGGGAGCCTTTCGTTTGAACCTTGACCCCACCCTTTCTTTCTCCATCCCCTTCTCCTCAGAGAGCCACTTGTGCGCTCCACAATAGCCTGAGTCAGAATAAGCAGCGCATTTTAGCAGCAGGGAGAAGAATGGCATGCCTTACTACCAATGAGTCGGGTATGACTCCATGGAAACGAGGCCTTGTGGTGCACCAAGTGCCTTTAACATGAACTCACTGATAGATAGAAGATGGACTGTGCTGTTAATTGAGAAGTTTATGACTGAAGTCTCAGAGATGATCTTTTGTAAATGGTCTGTTAAGTTCTACAGAGGGCCCCATTCCCTATAGGAGAGTAAGTGAAAAACAAGAGGGGGGGACGCTTGGGGGAAATAGACAGACGCCATTGTTGATCTCTTGCCTCCTGGGGGCATCCTGAAATGGAATGCCCGAAATAATCAGTCACATAGCCATCAGACAGATGTGGAGAGAGGTCCCACTGGCTGAGGGGGGATAATATTTCTTTCATACAAGATGACACAGCTGTGTGTCAGATACATCGGCTCTTTCTCTTCTCAGTTTCATCGATATGCAAATGGTATTCTGTAGACCTGAATGAAGCCACTATCTGTGCGGGACTGTGGAGAAGCTTTGACACCACTATCCCTGTTAATCTACTGCTAACTGCTAATTGGGACGGCCCCCGCTTTTGTTCGGCTTCTCAGCTCTGTCTGTTGTGCGTCTCGTAACCCTGAAGCAAAAACATTGCCTTGTGTAAGTGTTTACTATCATAAATACATGATTTTTCTTACTGCTATGAAGGAGCAGCTCCAGCTGCCTAAGGAGTTTTGATAGAAAATAAGAAGCTCTCAGCAACAGTTACACCCACCAACAGGCTTCCACTGGGAAAATGTTTTATTTGACAATTTTTGCAGAAACATTTTCTCAACAATAAATGTTTTATTCATGACCATAATCATTTTAAGCACTTTTTCTAAAGATTAGCTTATTTAAAAGGTACTCTGTGGAGTTTTTGACCACTATTCATAGTTTTCAGTCACGTGTCATGTGCAGTGACCTGGAGGGCAAAACAACAGACCGAAATGCGTTCAACATGTTAGGACTCCACCAGGCACCTTTAAAGTTTTTAAGGTAGGCAGATTAATATGGAGAGGTATTAATCTCAATAGTAGTGATTAATGCAACAAAACTAATATTTTTAGACATTTATCTATACAGGAAGTATTTCAAAAGAAAATGTTGTTAGATTAAATAAATTGAAACTGGAAATATGAATGAAGCTATGTCTATTTGTAAATTTGTTTTACAATTATTAAACTTAGGTGTTTTTTATGAATATGGAGATGCATTTAGAGAAACCATCATTTATTCACAAATTGTAAATCATGTTTTTAATTTGTGGATAATGAACCACATATATTTTTTATATATGTTTTTCATTTCATCTGACTATTTCTCTCCATAAATTAGAGGCTGGTGAAATTGTGTGCACTGACTTAGTATTACCTAGAACAGGGGTTCTTCACTTAGGATTATGTTACTCACATACATGCCAAAGATACATTTGCTTTAAATAAAAAGATCTACAACTGCTTTCTTTCATGCAATACATCAGTGTATTTTTTCACAGGGCATAAATAAAGCTGATTGCACTTTCAAAAACAAAGACCTGTTCCTGCATTGCCTCTTTGTGTGTGCATGAACTACACGTTGAGTGTGCTGGTTTAAATCTGCAGCTACAGGCACGTGTTGCGTCACACTCGTGCTACTGAGGCTCAGATGTTGAAGCGCTTGTTCCTGGTTTGCACTGCCCTCCTCTCTCTGTGGTACATGTTGACATACGAGGTTATAAGATCGTCCATCTTGTAGCCCTTTTAAAAGAAGACACAGAGGTAAAAAAGGAAATGAAAAGGAGTTTACTGACAGTTTGCCATTTGAAGCTCACGTGTCTACTGATAGATCTTACCAGTGAAGTTTCACACAGGAATTTGCTCCCCTTCACTAAACTGCCAATAGTCATGTGAAAGTAAGTGCTTCCACTGCACCAGTTAGCGATGCGGTTGAATGGGTGATTTGCCAGCACATCCTTTACATGAGAAAGTAATTGTTAATGGTAAAAAATAGTAGCAAGATGTTAAAGGCAATACTGTTAATGATGATTTTTTACCTTGGTTTTAGGGTGGATGATGGTGAGTCCTTGCTTGCTGACAGCTATTCGCACAATATCTGGGAAATTGGGTTCCGACGTTTGCTTAAAGGAAGTTAGAAAGGCAAATGAGAAAACTGTTCTTTACTGTGGTCATGACTATTTGCTTTCTGCAGACTTACAATTAGTATACCATGGTGACAGAGGGTGAGAGGGACAGAGAGCATCAGATAAACAAGCCACCCACCCAACCAAATGGACTATAGATAGCAAGATAAAGCATGCATTCACCGCAGCCCTTACCTTCACTTCAAAGAATGCACAGCCAAACGTCGGCCAGCGATGAACCACCTTCAGAAAGGCCACCTTAGCTTCTTCAACAGTCATACCAGCTTGTTTGTTAAAAGAGGCGACAATACTCTGAAAATTAAATATATGTATATATATTATATATATATATATATATATATATATATATATATATATCACAGTATGATACAACACTCACACTTGTTTTGTAAAAGTAGTGAGGTTAATGATTTCCCGACACCCCCACAGCCTTCAGGCAATATGCTCAGAGAACTGAGATGTTATCACAGGAATGGGATAATGGTGACATTGTTCATATGGGCAATTTAAAAGGACGAGGCTGGTTCTGTTCTATATTTTCCTTGTTGTCAACACATAAACTGGTAAGACACAAAGAAACAATAAAATGATCCTACAAGTGATATACCTCGATATACGTTCTGCCTCAGTGCCATAGAGTTCTGTTGTTGTCCAAAAATGAGAACAATCACATCAGTGAATCCTTCTTTTCAATGAACAGTGGAGTTAATTTTGAGTCAATCCCGCATACACCGTCTATCAACTGTCTATCAATCTGTGGCCAAAAATAGTCCCCACAAATGCACTATTTACCCTAGTTTGAGTAATGTTTGCAAAAAACTACAGTGCCCAGCTGTTTTGGGAAATGACCAAGCATTATCTGAAAGTTAAACTAGATATTTAAGAATTTTTTTAGCCATGCTAGCTGCTTGGCTCCTGGAAAAGCAACATCAGTCTGTCGGTCAGACATTCAAGTACACCAGAGGATGTGTCCTGATAACTTTGGTGATTCCCTGACATTTTCTCTAGCGCTCAAGAGGTTCACATTTTATGGTACTGAATGAAATATTTCAACAAATGCAGGATGGATCTGGACTAACATTGGTGATCCCCTGACTTTTAATCTAGCCCCATCATTAGCTCAAAATGTAACTTCGTCCAAAAGTTATGACCAAGACCTGCAAAACTAAAGACATACCCATCAGCCTCAGCTGTACTTTGGGCTTAGTGGTGATTAGCAAATGTTTGGGTGCTAAAATGCTGAACTAAGACAGTGAACTTGGTGAGCATTACCTGCTGATCATCAGCATGTTAACACTGTACTTATGTTAGCGTGCTGATGTAAGCATTTCACTCAATACACGTACTACTACAGCCTCACTGAGCTGCTAGCGTGGCTGTGTAGATTCCTGCTAAAGATTTACTTCTTCAAGAGGAGCGAATGCCATCGGAGCGTCACAGATGCATTGTGGCTTTTGGTCTTTTCATGAGATGTGATGACAATAAGAAAAACAAAGTGTAACACCAGCATTATCTTTTAAGCTATGCAATAGATAAAGGGACTCTTGAGATGAAATTAATGAAATGACAGCCCCTCATACCTTCTTCCACTCATTTTCAGACATGGCCTTCAGTTGGTCCGCGGGCACGAGCTCCTTCAGCATCTTGGGAATCATGACCAACTGGCTCTTGTCATTGCTGACCTTTACCCTAAAGAGCAGAGCCGCAATGTTGACCATGTCCTCTTTGGTGCAAGCATGATATCCTCTCAGATACTTAGGTAGCTCCTGGAAGACAGAAAGATATTTTATAAAGTCTACTGTTTTGGTAATTCACCAGCAGATTCATGTGAATCCTTCAAACTGAGTTGCTACTGACTTGTTCATTAGGGGAAAACTTTCTAATCTTTAACAATCCCACTGGTTGTAATGAAATCAGAAGGAGCGATCCTGGAACTAGTATTGATACTATCTCATTTAAATGTCAGGTAGAATTATGTTTAATGGAAAGTTTTAAATTTAATATCATGAGGAAAAACTAATCAGCCTTGAAATGTGATGATAGCTGAGCTGCATCATTCAAATGTACCTGAGGGAAATGAAAGATAAGATCTGCCTCTGTGTCTCTGCCTGGGACCACATTGAACCACAACTTCCTCATGAAGAACACAAGGTAGGGGATGTTGACCGGGCCGCCTGCAGAACACACACACACACACCAAAGAGGTTTTTGCAGGTAAGTACAAGATCAAAAGTCCAATTGGCCCTACAATCAGATAATGTTTGTACCGTCTTTAATCCTCTTGGCTGTCTTGGACCAGTCAGTGATTTGTCTCAGACTATCAAAGAAGTAGTCTGTGTCATTCAAACTGAGAACCTGAAATAAACATAATTACTGAATGTTTTTTTTGTTGTTGTTTTTTTTACAACCAATGTGGTGAAAGTTCAAGAAAGAGGGCTTAGAATTTATGAAAGTACACCAATTGTACAATTCGAGATCGAAATATAATATTCAATGCTGAGAAATGTCAAATAAACCTTGTCATGTGTTTTGACAAAAATGCTGAAGCCGTCTGCTGAAGCCAGGCTGAGCTTGTTGGTAATGTTCTGGATGAGATCCCTGATCCTGGTGCCTGTCGTGACCTCAAATACCTGAAGGGGGACGAGAGGATTCACTGGATCACTGTTAC